TTTTCCTTTGGAAATTGATAAGCATTTTAGCCTTGTAATGGTTTTTGATATATTTCTTAGGATGTTTTAGTGGCAGTTCCAATAAAAAATAGACTGCTCATTGTGTTGCAGTAAGAATCAATAATTTATGTTTTATATAGTTATTTAGTTAATATTTTAGCTGTTCACTTATTTCTCCCCTGCCCTGAAAATACATTAGAGAATTGTTTACCTAATTTAAATTTATTTACAGTTTTTCTTCCTTTGTGGATTTCATGAATGGTGCTTTGGAGCTAAAATTGCTATTTCTTTTGATTTTCATCTTTGAAAATTATTACAGGGAAGCATTAGTATTTTTGCTTCACATTAAAATTAATAGTTGTCTTTACTAACCTTGTTTTCTAGCAGAAAAAGCTTATGAATTTATATAAACCACTAAGACTAAATGGTTTCTATGAAGATGAGATGAAAATGCTCAAGGTTTCAATCTTCATTTTGTGATATTTATTTCTACATTACGTGTTACAGGGAAAATAAAAATTCTGGAAGATTTCATGTAAACCAAGTCTTACTGTTTAATTCTATTTTACTGGCCAGATGCTTCAGGAGTTACTTTGATGCTAATTGCCAGAAATAACATATTAAATATGCTTCAGGTTTCTCTCTTCAAGTGAGAAGTTTCCTTCAGGAAGTAAAAGCAAGGAGCCCATTATTTCAACTATTTCAACTGGAAGAGAATGTTTTAGGTTTTCAGTCAGAGGAGAGAAAAGGACATTACTAAATCTTGAAATGTGAGAGTTTGGGTGTAGGAAGCTACCACTGTCTGCATGTTAATATTTTCTTCTGTTTTTAGAATAGCAGTTTTCATTTCAGTATAGATGACCATGCAGCTGCAATTCAAGTAAGTGTTTTTTCTCTTGGACTATATATGTATTTTATTAGTTATATAAATGAATTAATATAATAAGATACTACAAACTATCACAAATGTTTTTATTGCATTAGTTCTTTTCAACATTACATTTTAATAACAGGAATACTGTATTTTGACTTTCTAGTCCTGAAATATTTAATTTTAGCTTTTATTTGTACTGAACCTTTAAAGCATCAAAATACTTGGAGTTGGTGGGTCCACCTTGTTGAACCATTTTGAGAAAAGAAGTGGAATATTTTATAGTTTTCTTACTCATTACAATTTATATTATTTATAGTTAAAAGAGCTTTCAGCAAAAAAAATATAAATTTTTGTTAGTTAATTTCACATGTGCTCTGTAAATGTTGTTCATGACTAGGTGTTAAAATTTGAAATTTTAGAGTAGATATTTTTGTTTTTGGGGGGGTGAGGTGAGCTGGGGGTAATGAGACAAACAGAATAATCTCATGTTTGAATGATTTTCCACATGTGGTGTTTGCTGTATATTTTTCTTTCCTGGTTTCTTTTTTTGACATCAATAGAACATGACTGAATCTTAAAGGAATAAGTTGCATCGAATATCTCTCTCTAGGAAGATGCAATCAGCTGGCAGTGAGATGCACTTCAGGGCAGTCAGATTTCAGTTCTGATCCTAGTTCTGCTACTTCCCACTGAGATTCTGGCAAGCTATTTTATCTAGAGTTTTTGCTTCCTCCTGTAAGGTGAAGATAATAGTCCTTATGTTGAGGAATCAATGAGATAAGACATGCAGAGAGCCTACTAGAATATATACTGCCTAGTGGCACTTCAGAAGTTTGGTTGTACTAACTACACACCAAAATTATCCAGCTATAAAACTGGAGATGGTACCTTTGTCATGAAGCCAGCCTTCTTCCCACCTTCCTCCCTCCTTTTATTCTTACCAAGATAACAGACAGTCTAGAGAATTATTTATCAATGGTCAAGAACACCCACAGTGTGGGTCCTGCTTGAACACCTTCCTATGTTGTGTAGCTATCCCGCTGCTCTACTAATAAACAGTTTGTTTATCTGTTTTTCTTCTGGGATTGAATGTCCATGACAGACTTCCAGAAGTCTTCCTGTTGTTTAGCATGTGTGAGCCTATGTTCAAGCCCAGTACCACCAAAAAAAAAAGATCGTCTTCTTTCCCATCTGTGTCTTTTCACATACACTTCAGTATACTTAGAACTCATTTTACACAAAACCATTTTTGAGCAGATAACTTCTATCCTCTCTTTTATTCCAGCTTCAGAAATGTCATTAGTTTTTATTGATTTATATATATATACATATATATGTATATATGTATATATATATAACATACATATATATATATACGCACATATACACATACTATATATATATACACACACACACATATATATAATATATATATTTTTTTTTTTTTTGTGTACTGGGGTTTGAACTCAGGGCCTTGAACTTGTTAGGCAGGCACTGTATCAATTGAGCCATGCCTCCAGCCCATTTTACTTTAGTTTTATTGGTATTGGTGTCTTACATTTATACCTGGACTAGCTTGGATGGTAAGCGTCCATTGACACTTCCTGTGTAGCTGAGATGACAGCATGCACTACCACATCCAGTTTGAGATGGGGTCTCATAAACTTTTTTCACCTGAGCTGACCTCAAACCAAGTCCTCCCCTCTCCACCTCCTGAGTAACTAGGATCACAAGTGTGAGTCACTGTCTCCAGCTCAGTTATATTTTTCCTATATATTCTTTTGTATTGCTACATTGTCTGTGTGTTTCTCATTTCCACACTAAAGGCATTAATATTTCTTAATGTGATGATATTTTTCATAGTTTTGCCTTATGGTTCCATGAAATTTCCTCTAATCTGGTATACCTTCATTGATTCCTCTCCAAGACTATCCTTGACATCTCTCACAGAGGTTTTTCCTTCTTTCCCTGCTTAATGTGAGAACTTTCTAGTATTTTCACCTCTTTGTCAACTCAATTGGACAGTTGCTTAGTTATTTATAAGTGCCTTGAGAGAAGAGACATCTAGTAAATAGCTGTTATCAATTGATAACTTTGTTTATTTAATACATTGAGATTTTCCATGCACTCTTTCTGTGTCTTTCATTCTGACTAATAAAGACACATATAGTCCAAAAGTGAATGACAGATAGTTCTTAACTTCTTTTGGGTCATAGTCCTCTTTGAGAATCTGAGAAATAGCCTGTTTATACAGAGGCATACAATTTAAGCTAAGTGTGATCAACTTTATGAACCTAAGTTCCTTTGTGGACTGTGGATTAAGAATCTTTGCAATTTGACAGCTTTCAGTATGTTGAGGACAACCTTTATGTGTGTAGTTTTTCTTACTAACATCTAATGTTTATTTGTGTATATTAATTGTACAAAGGGGTTTCATTGTGATACTTACAGAGGTGCATACAGTGTACTTCACTTCTATTATTTTTCTTATCCCCCTTTTAAAACAACATTCAATGGGTTTCATTATTCTATTCTCATCATGTGTAAAGTGTTTAAGCATCTAACTTTTAATATTAATATACTACTGACTAGCCATGGCTACAGAGTATTCTGCTTAATGATAGGAGAACTCAACATGTCCTTTTTTTTTCTTTAACGTGGCATTAAGGAAGAGTGACTTCTGTTAATGTTAACTTCTCCATTTTCAAATATAATTTTCAAAAAACTACCTCCTAACTCATGCTCATCTTTCCTTGCCAAACACTTGGCACCTGCTCTGCCTGTTTTCTGCACAGTCAAATGGTTAAAAGCCAAATAACATATTTTGTTGATTTAAAAATATTAATTATTAGATACACCATGATTTTGATGATAGAGTTGTTTGCTAATATCTGTTCCTTAATTATTCAGCACATATTTTTTGACTAAATACTATGTGCTGTCATGCTGAGTTCTAGGGTTACAAACAGAATAGACACGCTTATAAAGGGAAGAATTAGAGAGTAAGTCTTGTTATGCCTCTTCGAAATAATTTGAAGAAATAAATACCATCTACCTTTTCCCTAACACTATACAGTATTGTCATATATTTAGGAGTTTATTCCCTAATCTCTTTGCATGATTCTTGAAATAATATCCCTCAAACAACTTATGTTTCATTTTGTCTTTGGGTATTTTTACTGAGTTTCATTACTCTTGCAAATCACTTGTGTTTATTCATTTTATCTCTTTGCCTTTGGGATTTCTTTCTTAACATGTTTCTTTCTCACCACAGAAGATTAGAAGCAGTTTTAATTAGTTTTTTCTTCAAAGTTTGTCTGCATACATTTATAGTTTTGCTTCGGCTTTTGACTTGGATAGTAAGACATGTTCAAATGAACCTGAATAAATTTAATATATTTTGGGAAAATGTTCTATATTTAAAAATCAGAAGAGGACTATATTCACTGTGCTTTTTAAAACAACAACTTAAAACAGTCACCAACCTAAACAGTAGTTTCAGGTATGTCACAGCCATCTAAGAGTAAATAGCCAATCTAATGCTAAGTACCTGCAAATACTTTAATGTGTTTTTCTCAAAAACAAGGACATCTTCCTATACCACCACAATGAAATGACCAGAATTGGAATTTTAACATTGGCACAGTACTGCCATTTAATACCCAGGTCATGTTCCAGAGCTGTCCGTTGTCTCTGTCATATCCAGTTCAGAGCCGTGTGTTGGCTCTGGTTGCCATCTCTCTTTTTGAGTCTTTGTCAGGCTCAAACAGTCTGTTATTAATGACCTTGGCACTTTTGAATATTACCAGTTATTTTGTAGGATATCCTTCAATTTTGATTCATCTGATGTTTTCTCACGATTGGTTTAGGTTATGGACATCCTGAATGGAAATATCTCAGAAGGAAAAGGTTTTTTCCTCTTTGCGTCCTGTCAGGTGGCATATGACCTGATGGTGTTCATCTCTATTACTTGGTTGTGATGCTATCAGAAAAGAAAAGATTAGAAAACAAAAAGATGACTCTTTTTCCCTTTGTAAGAAGTGTTTTTGTGTGCAAGTACTCTTAACCATATAAGCATCTCATTTTCTGTCAAAATTCATCGTTGTTTATTTCTTCTGTGTGGACAAATTTTTTATCTAATTTAATGTGATAATCAATTGGTTACTATTATTTAAATTACCTCCCAATATAGCCAAATAGAGGTCTTTAGTTTATTTCTGTGTCCTTTCGATATGTCCCCCTCATTCTTTGAGTGTTTATCCTCATTCCCCATTTGTCCCTTTCTTCCTTGGCAATGAGAAAACTGGCTCCCACTTGCTAACTCTCCATGCATGTAACCAACACTGCAACCTCTCCCTGGTAGATCTTAGCTCAATGGAACCGCATAGCATCCCTGAGTTGCTCCTGCTTTGTTCCATGATGTCCTCCTTATACTGCTCAAGGTCTGACACCTGGTGCAAGCCTGTCTCCACGTGTGGATGTTCTTTCACTTCACTCAAACTGTCTTCAACCACCCTGCTTTGAGAACCTCCTGCTCACTTTCACTTGTCTCTAATACCCCTTCCTGAGTTGCTAAGGAAGGAGAAAGACAGGGCTATTTGTACCAGTATTGTGATTGAAAACATTTCACGTATCTACACTGATAGTTTGCTTCTAATTTGTGTCTTCATGAGATGAAGTTTTGTGCACATGTGTATTATATATGATTTATATTTCATCTTTTACATATGGATGTGGATTATGTGACTTTTGGCAAAGTTGTATCCTTCAGTTGCCTGGTGCTCTCTCTAGGTTTGGTTGGGAAGATCTGCCTCTAAGCCCCGGAGTCCTCTGACACCGACACGGACCAGGACTGGCTGATGTTTGGTCAGTATGATGAGTGGATAGCTGTGAGGCATAAGGCCACTTTGCTGCCCATGCAAGAAGATCTGTCTATTTGGTTATCTGGCTTATTAGGTAAGGCTTGGAAAGATACCCTCATTTGTATTCTACTATTCAACAAGTATTTATTGAGAGCCTTACTTTTTATTAAGGAGTGATTGTTCTAGGTGCTGGGGAAATGCTAGTGAATGAAGCTTTCAAGGTCCTTGTCGGATTCACCCTGAACCTTGGGTCTTAAATTGTAGGAAATTTGAGAGTTAACTGCAGTGGTCAGTGAAATACATTAACATTGTTAATATTACTATTAATATTAAGATCATTGTCAATATTAAAATCTTTTAAAAAAAGTATGGGTCTCATTTCTTTTTTGTTTCTTACTGATTCCCTCCTCCACCATCTTGTCTAAGCTATGGCATTCTGAGTGGAATATTTACTGTAGACTAAGTGGTACTGTTTCTGAGAGAGATACTGAGAGGTAGAGGCCTGTGACACCTAGAAACACATGTCAGGCTGGAGGAAGCCTGGCGTCATATTTTTTACTCTGTTAGAGACAAGGATGATGCTCTGAACTTCCTCCTCAGAAAAAATTCACTTTGAACAGAATTTCTTGCAGCGCTCCAAGTTTTCATGAAAAGAAACAGCCGCTTTAGTTTTGTCTGACAGCAGGCCAACGATCTAGACATTTAAAAAGTTTATTATGTAATCATAATGCTTTTAAAGAAGGCTTCTTCAAGTGAAAAGTTGGCATTCTCAGGCTATTTGTTCTGGTAATGAATTTAATTTTTAAACAACAAAATCTACCTTGTTTACCAAGAATCTTTGTTATGCAAGCAAAATTAATATGTGACAAATTTATTTTATTTAAAAATTTAAATGACATTTTTAAAATGTCAGTTTTCTTTATTCTGTGCTTTCACATCACAGATGTTTTTGTTTTGCCTTTCATTTAACTTGACTTTGTTTTATTTATTTTTTATTTATTTATTTATTTATTTATTTATTTCATTTTTCTTTTATTATTCATATGTGCATACAAGGCTTGGTTTGTTTCTCCCCCCTGCCCCCACCCCCTCCCTTACCACCCACTCCACCCCCTCCCGCTCCCCCCCTCAATACCCAGCAGAAACTATTTTGCCCTTATCTCTAATTTTGTTGTAGAGAGAGTATAAGCAATAATAGGAAGGAACAAGGGGGTTTTGCTGGTTGAGATAAGGATAGCTATACAGGGCATTGACTCACATTGATTTCCTGTGCGTGGGTGTTACCTTCTAGGTTAATTCTTTTTGATCTAACCTTTTCTCTAGTTCCTGGTCCCCTTTTCCTATTGGCCTCAGTTGCTTTAAGGTATCTGCTTTAGTTTCTCTGCATTAAGGGCAACAAATGCTAGCTAGTTTTTTAGGTGTCTTACCTATCCTCACCCCTCCCTTGTGTGCTCTCGCTTTTATCATGTGCTCATAGTCCAATCCCCTTGTTGTGTTTGCCCTTGATCTAATGTCCACATATGAGGGAGAACATACGATTTTTGGTCTTTTGAGCCAGGCTAACCTCACTCAGAATGATGTTCTCCAATTCCATCCATTTACCAGCGAATGATAACATTTCGTTCTTCTTCATGGCTGCATAAAATTCCATTGTGTATAGATACCACATTTTCTTAATCCATTCGTCAGTGCTGGGGCATCTTGGCTGTTTCCATAACTTGGCTATTGTGAATAGTGCCGCAATAAACATGGATGTGCAGGTGCCTCTGGAGTAACAGTCTTTTGGGTATATCCCCAAGAGTGGTATTGCTGGATCAAATGGTAGATCGATGTCCAGCTTTTTAAGTAGCCTCCAAATTTTTTTCCAGAGTGGTTGTACTAGTCTACATTCCCACCAACAGTGTAAGAGGGTTCCTTTTTCCCCGCATCCTCGCCAACACCTGTTGTTGGTGGTGTTGCTGATGATGGCTATTCTAACAGGGGTGAGGTGGAATCTTAGTGTGGTTTTAATTTGCATTTCCTTTATTGCTAGAGATGGTGAGCATTTTTTCATGTGTTTTTGGCCATTTGAATTTCTTCTTTTGAGAAAGTTCTGTTTAGTTCACTTGCCCATTTCTTTATTGGTTCATTAGTTTTGGGAGAATTTAGTTTTTTAAGTTCCCTGTATATTCTGGTTATCAGTCCTTTGTCTGAGGTATAGTTGGCAAATATTTTCTCCCACTCTGTGGGTGTTCTCTTCAGTTTAGAGACCATTTCTTTTGATGAACAGAAGCTTTTTAGTTTTATGAGGTCCCATTTATCTATGCTATCTCTTAGTTGCTGTGCTGCTGGGGTTTCATTGAGAAAGTTCTTACCTATACCTACTAACTCCAGAGTATTTCCTACTCTTTCTGTATCAACTTAAGAGTTTGGGGTCTGATATTAAGATCCTTGATCCATTTTGAGTTAATCTTGGTATAGGGTGATATACATGGATCTAGTTTCAGTTTTTTGCAGACTGCTAACCAGTTTTCCCAGCAGTTTTTGTTGAAGAGGCTGCTATTTCTCCATCGTATATTTTTAGCTCCTTTGTCAAAGATAAGTTGCTTATAGTTGTGTGGCTTCATATCTGGATCCTCTATTCTGTTCCACTGGTCTTCATGTCTGTTTTTGTGCCAGTACCATGCTGTTTTTATTTTATTGCTTTGTAATATAGTTTGAAGTCAGTATTGTGATACCTCCTGCATTGTTCTTTTGACTGAGTATTGCCTTGGCTATTCGTGGCCTCTTGTGTTTCCATATAAATTTAACAGTAGATTTTTCAATCTCTTTAATGAATGTCATTGGAATTTTGATGGGAATTGCATTAAACATGTAGATTACTTTGGGAGTATCGACATTTTTACTATGTTGATTCTACCAATCCATGAGCATGGAGATCTCTCCACTTTCTATAGTCTTCCTCAATCTCTTTCTTCAGAAGTGTATAGTTTTCCTTGTAGAGGTCTTTCACATCTTTTGTTAGGTTTACACCTAGGTATTTGATTTTTTTTGAGGCTATTGTAAATGGAATTGTTTTCATACATTCTTTTTCCGTTTGCTCATTGTTAGTGTATAGAAATGCTAATGATTTTTCTATGTTGATTTTATATCCTGCTACCTTGCTATAGCTATTGATGATGTCTAGAAGCTTCTGAGTAGAGTTTTTTGGGTCTTTAAGGTATAGGATCATGTCGTCTGCAAATAGGGATATTTTGACAGTTTCTTTACCTATTTGTATTCCTTTTATTCCTTCTTCTTGCCTAATTGCTCTGGCTAGGAATTCCAGTACTATGTTGAATAGGAGTGGAGATAGTGGGCATCCTTGTCTGGTTCCTGATTTTAGAGGGAATGGTTTCATTTTTTCTCCGTTAAGTATAATGCTGGCTGTAGGTTTGTCATATATAGCTTTTATAATGTTGAGGAACTTTCCTTCTATTCCTAGTTTTCTTAGAGCTTTTATCATGAAATGATGTTGGATCTTATCAAAGGCTTTTTCTGCATCTATTGAGATGATCAAGTGGTTTTTGTCTTTGCTTCTGTTAATGTGGTTTATTACGTTTATTGATTTTCGTATGTTGAACCACCCCTGCATCCCTGGGATGAAGCCTACTTGGTCGTGGTGAATAATCTTTTTGATGTGTTGCTGAATTCGTTTGCCATTATTTTGTTGAGGATTTTTGCATCAATGTTCATTAAGGAGATTGGCCTATAGTTCTCCTTTTTGGAGGTGTCTTTGCCTGGTTTTGGGATAAGTGTAATACTGGCTTCATAAAATGTGTTTGGCAGTTTTCCTTCCCTTTCTATTTCATGGAACAGTTTAAGGAGGTTGGTATCAGTTCTTCTTTAAAGGTCTGATAGAATTCAGCAGAGAATCCATCAGGTCCTGGACTTTTCTTTTTGGGGAGACTCTTGATTGCTGCTTCAATTTCATTTTGTGTTATAGGTCTATTCAGGTGATTAATTTCCTCTTGGTTCAGTTTTGGATGATCATATGTATCTAGAAATCTGTCCATTTCTTTTAGATTTTCAAATTTATTTGAATATAGGTTCTCAAAGTAGTCTCTGATGATTTCCTGGACTTCCATGGTGTTTGTTGTTATCTCCCCTTTTGCATTCCTGATTCTACTAATTTGGGTTTTTTCTCTCCTCATTTTAGTCAGGTTTGCCAGGGGTCTATCGATCTTGTTTATTTTTTCAAAGAACCAACTTTTTGTTTCATTAATTCTTTGTATGGTTTTTTTGGTTTCTATTTCATTGATTTCAGCTCTTATTTTTATTATTTCTCTCCTTCTATTTGTTTTGGGATTTGCTTGTTCTTGTTTTTCTAGGAGTTTGAGATGTATCATTAGGTCATTGATTTGGGATCTTTCAATCTTTTTAATATATGCACTCATGGCTATAAACTTTCCTCTCAAGACTGCCTTAGCTGTGTCCCATAGGTTCCGGTAGGTTGTGTTTTCATTTTCATTGACTTCCAGGAACTTTTTAATTTCCTCTTTTATTGCATCGATGATCCATTCTTCATTAAGTAATGAGTTATTTAGTTTCCAGCTGTTTGCATGTTTTTTGTCTTTACTTTTGTTGTTGAGTTCTACTTTTACTGCATTGTGGTCAGATAGTATGCATGGTATTATTTCTATTTTCTTATATTTGCTGAGGCTTGCTTTGTGCCCTAGGATATGATCTATTTTGGAGAAGGTTCCATGGGCTGCTGAGAAGAATGTATATTGTGTAGAGGTTGGATGAAATGTTCTGTAGACATCTACTAGGTCCACTTGATCTATTGCATATTTTAGATCTTGGATTTCTTTATTGAGTTTTTGTTTGGATGACCTATCTATTGATGATAATGGAGTGTTAAAGTCTCCCACAACCACTGTGTTGGCGTTTATATATGCTTTTAGGTCTTTCAGGGTATGTTTGATGAAATTGGGTGCGTTGACATTGGGTGCGTACAGATTGATGATTATTATTTCCTTTTGGTCTATTTCCCCTTTTATTAGTATGGAATGTCCTTCTTTATCTCGTTTGATCAATGTAGGTTTGAAGTCTACTTTGTCAGAGATAAGTATTGCTACTCCTGCTTGTTTTCGGGGGCCATTGGCTTGGTAAATCTTCTTCCAGCCTTTCATCCTAAGCATATGCTTATTTCTGTCGGTGAGATGAGTCTCCTGTAAGCAACAAATTGTTGGATCTTCTTTTTTAATCCATTTTGTCATTTTTGTTTTGCCTTTCATTTAACTTGACATTGTTTTAATTAAACCTTCTAAGAGTGAATACTTGGAGTCTGATCTGATATTTGTCTAGTTTTTCAGTTCTAATCTGATTCTATTAAATATTAACCATTTTATTTGGATTTACTATTTCTAGAAGAATTTTAAGTTTGAGATATGCTTTTAGGTATTGAAGTTAAGGCAGAAAAATTATTGGAAGAACTTGATAATGGAGTACTTTTATGCCAGCTGATTGATGTTCTTCAAAATATGGTGAAAGCATGCAGCTCTGAAGAACGAGGGGTAAGTGACGCTTCCCAGCACACATGTCAGATCTTGATACAAGTAATTCCTTCATGAACCTTCCTTCCTTTCTTTCTGTTTTTTTTTCTTTTTTTTTTGGTGGTGGTATGGGGCTAGGCAAGTGCTCTACTACTTGAGCCCACATCTTTAGCCTTTTCCCTTTTTGCTTTTGCTTGTTTTTCAGATAGGCTCTAGTGCGTTTAACCTGGAACTGGCTTTGGACTCAATTTTCACACATATGCCTGCTCAAGTAGCTGGGATTATAGATAGTTACCATCACACCTAGCTTGTTTGTTGAGACAGGGTCTTGCTAACTTTTTCCCCAGGCTAGCCTTGAACTGTGATCCTCCCTATCTCTGCCTCCCCAGTAGCTGGGATTATAGGCATGAGCCATCACTTTTTGCTGTTTATGTATGTTTCTTATCATCTCTACAAGGTTGTAAACTTCCACTCCCTGACTGGTATGAAAACTTGAAAATTTTGCTTAAACTTTTTGAGCATCTGAAAAAAAGGTTATTTGTAACCTGGAGATACTAACATTTACCTTGTAGGTTTTATTTGTGAGTGATTATTGATAATAAATGAGATAGTATGTAGATGGTACCTAGTGTAGTCTGTGATGCATTGTAGATATTGAGTAGGTAGCTCTTCTTTTTTTTTTTTTTTCATTTTTCTTTTATTATTCATATGTGCATACAAGGCTTTGTTCATTTCTCCCCCCTGCCCCCACCCCCTCCCTTACCACCCACTCCGCCCCCTCCCTCTCCCCCCTCAATAGGTAGCTCTTCTTAATAACAGTAGTAGAAGTGTAAGATGTTTTCCTCCATCAATCCCAACTCACAATCTCAAATAAACCAGGTCCCTTTCTTTTTGCCAGATGTAGGTGTTTTCAAGATTTTGGGGTCTGGATGCTTGCATGGAAACAGTTGATATCATCACTGTGGGGGACAGTGAGTGGTCCATCCATCCATATAGATATACATATATTTACATATATATTCATATGTGTGTGTGTATATATATATATATATATATATGCATAGACATATATGTAAACTGAAAATAAAAAGTGTATCCTTTGATACATAAGATTCTTTTTATTCTAAGAAAATCACAAATTTATAAGAATGATAGAACAAAAATTTAGCAACAATTAAGAGTTCATTGATAGAGAAGTTGTTAAAAATTAATTATGGTACCTATTGCATTGGACTATTGTACAGTTAATAGAAATGATTATTTACACTGGGTGCAGTGGCTCGTGCCTGTAATCTGAGCTACTCAGGAGGCAGAGATTGGGAGGATTTTGGTTTGAGGGCAGCCCAGGCAAAACATTAGTAAGACTCCATCTCGACAAGCCAGATGTGGTATAGCATGTTTATAATCCCAGCCACTCAGGAGGCAGAAGACAGAAGGGTCACAGTCCAGGCAGACCACAGGGCAGAAATGTGAGACCCTCCCTGAAAAATAACTAAAGAAAAAAGGCCTGGAGGCATGGCTTAAGTGGTAGAGCACCTGCCTAGCAAGTGCAAGGCCCTGGGTTCCAGCCCTAGCACCACCCAAAACAAACAAAAAAAGGTTATTTACTCAAATCTGTTATTTTCAACCCTAAAAGATCCCCACAACATATTGTTAAGTGTACATGTGCACATACACGAAAATAAATCAAATTGCAGACCAGTGTGTTTATGTAACATTTTGTAGGTACAGCTGGATGTGTAACTATTCATAGAGATATCTAAATGTGGGTGAGAGAATTTCGGCTAAAAATACTGATCTTTGCTGTGTTGTTGATTCTTGTTTCTTTTGCAATGATTTTATTGTCTACATTTAATCATATACACACACAATAACCTCACAGGCTATTTTAGTTCTGGAAAACAATAGCGAGAGCATCAAAAAGTCTATTCATGAATTCCTTTCCAAGTGAAAATTTCAACTAAAAATAACTTCCCCCTCCCACTACTCTGGGCTAGACAGTAAAAAATTCAAATTCTGTGAAACTTAAGCCATCCATTTCCAAGGAACCTGAAGTGAGAATGGGCAGCTACTTCCTTATTTGAGTGTCTCCTCAAGAACCTTCATGACTCTGCACCAGGGAAGTAAGCAGAATGAGGATGACTGTTAACTTTGAACACAGCAATAATTTTGTGTTTGAACTAAACATACCATAGAGACATACCATAGAGATGTGTTTAGAGTTACTGGCTGTCATTTTTATTTTTTCTATTTTTTAACATTTTTATTAGTATATAATAGTTGTATGGGGGTTTCGTTGTGACATTTCCATACGTGTGTACATTGTACCCCAGTTTGGTTCACCCTCTCCTTTTTTTTTCTTTATTCATTTATTCATATGCGCATACATTGTCGGGGCCATTTCTCTCCCCTGCCCTCCGCCCCTTCTCCCTTCTTGAAATGACTTCCACAAGTTTCAATGTTCCATATTCGTACATGGGTAGAAAATATGTCAACCAGTCACCCTCCTTTACCCTCTTTGTTTACCCTCCTGCTCTTGCTAGTACCCTCCCCTCAACCTGACCTGTTTTGCATTCCTGTCCTTCATTGGTCAGTGGAGTTTTGCTTTGGTATTTTACCTGCAAATATATTGTAGTTTAATCAGTCTAACCCCCTCTTTTATAGAATTTTATTTTTAATTAAGATTCTTGTGTCATTTAAAAAAGAAAGTGATTAGAGAAGTTTGAGCCTATTGCTCATTTTGACCAGATTGTTTTTCTAGGAATATTTTCTGGAACACACTTAAAGCAAAATCAGGTCCTTTTGCAGATGTCTTTTTCCTTAAAGTTGTATACTTTTTAGTTACACTCAGCGCATTGAACACTTACTTTGCAATTCTAAAATGAATTTCTAATGAAAATATCCTTGATGCATTCTTCTAATTATCCTTACATCTTTTCCAGAATTTTCCAATGAGCAAGGTGCCTTGTAAGAAAGATGCTGCTTCAGGCTCGTTCTTTGCCAGGGACAACACTGCCAACTTCCTTCGCTGGTGCCGGCATGTTGGGGTTGATGACACTTACCTCTTCGAATCTGAAGGTTTAGGTAACTGTTGTAGTGTAGTTTTTAATGTTTATTGGAACATTTTTGTATTCTTCACTTCTAATTTTTCTTCCCAAATACTGACTCAAATTGCCATATGTCTCAGTTTCTTAGAAAAATGAATTCTTTAGTTATATGTGAAACCATTGGCGAACCAAATATTCAATATATTAAATTTTTCATTTATAGTTAAAGGCTTTATATAATTATAATGCCCTAACCATATTTTACTTGCTAAATAAGTTGGCTGCTGTAGCTAATGCTTTACTAATTAATGTTTTCTTCAAGATTTACTCAACTAAGTCTAAATCGCTAGTAATTTCTGTTTAGCCGGATCATTACAGAAATAACAGAAGGCTAAATGAGGTCTACTTGCAGTGTTTAGATTTACCTTGTAAACAACAGCTGCCATGTCAATTGCGTAAATGGATCGTCTTTGACAGTTCATTTTAAAAGTCATGTTCTACTGAATAATTTGACATATTTTCTCATTTCCTTTAAGTCAACAGAAGCATCTGTATAGTGACTAAAGTGGCACCTGTCTTGCTGCTGTGGACTGTATACATATTTTTTCAAAGCATTTATGTGTGTGTATATGCACCACATATATACTTTTGCATCAACACACGTGTACAGTGCTGTGCTGGGAGCAGTCATCTACCGGGGTGGTTCTGCGCACCTCTGCCTTCATAGAGAGGAGTTTTAGCTGCCATCCTTTGCAGTTTCTGGTTTGTGGTGATATAAAAAGCACACTGATTTTTGGCTGGTTTTATTATAGTTTTAAGTTCCCCCTTTTTATCTACACTCAGAATGAGCTGCTGTACATTTGCTACACCTGTCCAAAGTGAAATAAAGTACATTGGCTTACTCTCCCACCCTCAGCTTGCACCCTGCCTTAGATCCAGTCCAGATGTGTTGACCATTAATGACGTTGCAGTTGATGTGATGGCATATCCAGCTTCTAGAGATCAAAGGGAAGAGAAACGCTTTGAATTGTCCAGTTCTAGTTTACTATTTCCGAAAGGCTCTAAGATTGCTATATATTTCTCGTTGTTAAAGACATGGTCAGCAGTCCTGAGGGTCAGTGTAGTACTGCTAATACACTGTCAGTACCATTATTCATTTTTAGGCAGTGAGCTGCTAAGCTATAGTTCTCTAAAGGTCTCATAGAATACCCCTTAGTTTTTTCATTGTGGTAGGAACTCAAAGCAATTTTAAGAAACAAATACAATATTTTAAGGTACTTTCGAGTGTTTAGAAAAACAAGTCTAAAACATGTCAGCGCAGGGCACTAGTGGCTCACACCTCTAATCCTAGCTGCTTGGGAGGCTAAGATCAGGAGGATCATGGATCCAGGTCAGCTAGGGCAAAAAATTTCAAAGACCCCATCTCAATGGAAAAAAGCTGGGCACGGTGGTCCACCCCTGTCATCCCAATGATTGTGAGAAGCTTAAAGTGGGAGGGTTGTGGTCTAGGTCAGCCTGGGCAAAAAGTAAGACCTATCTCCAAAATAACCACAGCAGAAAGGGATGGAGGCATGATTGAAGCCATAGAGTGCCTGTCTAGCAAGCACAAAGCTCTGAGTTTAAACCCCAGTACTGCCCAATAACAAAAAAATTGAGGTAAGTTCCTTTATTGATGAGCTTTAAAGTCAAATACTGATTTTTATTGCTTTAATAAAATAAACTGAGTCCGATGGCACATCCCAGCACTCAGGAAACTGATGCAGGGGGATCATGAATTGAAGGCCAGCCTGGGATATATGTAGCAAGTTAAAGAAAAACTGCTCTCTCTATTGTAATAAATGTATATGTATGCAGTTTATCACACATTGCACACTGTTAGGTTAGGATTTAGAAGTTTCTCTTTCCAGAGCTTCTCTCTGAGGACTAGGACAGGAAGGGAGATGACTCCCAAGCACTACAGGTGCATTTAGAATCATTCTGTGATCTCTCTACCTTGACATTATAATTCCTGCAATTTTCTTTTCTTTCTTTTTTTCTTTTTTTTTTTGTTATTGGGGTTTGAGCTCAAGGCCTCAGTAAGCACTCTGCTGCTTAAGTCACTTCCAGCCCAAGTTTCCTTTAAAATTATTTTTATTTTTAAAATTGCAAAACACACATAACCATTTATAATTGTAGCTATTTTAAATGAATGAGGTTCCTTTTTAAAATAGCATTTTAAAAAATTAATAGTTTCACATAAAAAATTATTAATTTAAAAATGTACATTTCGGTGAGTTTTAGTATTTTTAACTATGTTATACAATTGTCTCCACTCTAATACCAGAATATTTCTGTCACCTCCAAAAGCAAGCAGACTTACTGACCATTAGTCCCAATTATTCTCCTTTTAAACCCTGGCAACCACTAATCACTTTCTGTCTCTGTGATTTGCATATTCTCAAGATTTCATAAGTAGAATGATACAGTATGTTAAACCTTTATGTCAGCTCCTTTTATTGGTTCATTTGGTATCACACAACAGTACCTCACTCCTTTTTCTGGCTGAATAATATGCCATTGTATGCATATACCACATTTTTAATCTATCCATCAGCTGATGGACATTTGGATTGTCTAATTCTTTGACTGTTATGAATAATGCTGCTATGAATATTTGTGTACAAGTTTTTGAGTGACTTGTGTTTTCAGTTTTCTCAGGTACATTCCTAGGAGTAGAATTGCTGGGTCATATGGTAATTCTATGTTTATTGTTTTGAGGAACACTAAACAGTTTTCACAGTGGCTGCTCAATTTATATTCTCACCAGCAATGCACAAGTGTTTCAGCTTCTTCACATCCTTGTCAACAATTGTCATTGTCAGCTCTTTGATTACTCTTCTTATAACCATCCTGGTGGTTGTCAAGAGGTGTCTCATTGTGGGTTTGGTTTGCATTGCCCTAATGACATTCACCATCTTTTCATATGCTCATTGGCCATTTGTTTACTTTCTCAGAAGAAATGTCTCTTCTAAACCTTTACATATTTTAGTTGTGTCTTTTATCTTTAATATTTATTTGCAAGGTTTTTTTTGTATAGTTTAGATACTTGTCTCTTATTAGATATAATTTACAAATATTTTCTTCTTGTCTTTGGGTTGTCTTTTTCACTTTCTTGATAGTACCCTTTGATGCACAGAAGTTTTAAATTTTGAATAAATTTTAATTTATTTTCTTTCTTTGCTCTTGCTTTTTTTGTTGTATTTAAAAAACATTGCCTAATCAAATTTTTACCTATTTTTTATTTTAAGAGTTTATTGTTTTAGGTCTGAACATTTAGGTCTTTGATACATTTAATTAATCTTGTGTATGGTGTGAGACAGGGTTCACATACATTCTTTGTGTGTACACATTTTCCCCATTTCCGTTTATTGAAAAGACTGTCCTTCTCCATTGAAGTGTCTTGTTGAAAACAACTGAACATAGAAGTGTGGATTTATTTCCTGATGCTCAATTCCTTTCCACGTTTGTCTTTCTGCTGATAGTACACTGTCTTGATTTTTGTAGTTTTTAGTAAGTTTTGAAATTTGAGAAGTGTGAATCCTCCAACTTTGTTCTTCTTTTTCAAGATTGGTTTTACTATTTTGAGACCTTTGCAATTCCATTTTAATTTTTAGCATTAATTTTTCCATTTCTGGGGGGACAATAGACCGTTGGAATTTTGCTAGAGACTGCATTGAATCCTTGATCTATTTGGGGAATGTTACCGTCTTAACAATATTGTCTTCCAGTCCATGAACATGGTATTAGGGCAGCAAACAGTGAGGGGGAACAAATGTAGAAATGACCCTAAGAATGTAAAGGGAACAGATGGCAGAAGTATCTTTGTCTTAGATAATAAGGGAGACACGAAGACATCCTTAAAAGCAAACGTAAGGCTAACTTTGCTTAAGATGATGTTCTCCAGTTCCATCCATTTACTTGCAAATGGCAAAATTTCATTCTTCTTTGTGGCTGAGTAAAATTCCATTGTTTATAAATACCACATTTTCTTAATGCATTCGTCAGTAGTGGGGCATCTTGGCTATTTCCGTATCTTGGCTATTGTGAATAGTGCTGCAGTAAACATGGGTGTCCAGGTGCCTTTGGAATAACCTGAGTTGCATTCCTTCAGGTATATCCCTAGGAGTGGTATTGCTGGAGCATATGGCAGATCTATGTTTAGTTTTTTAAGAAGCCTCCAGATTGTTTTCCAAAGTGGTTGTGTTAGCTTACATTCCCACCAGCAGTGTATGAGGGTTCGTTTTTCCCCGCATCCTTGCCAACATTTGTTGGTGGTGGTGTTCTTGATGGTGGCTATTCTAATAGGAGTGAGGTGGAATCTTAGCATGGTTTTGATTTGCATTTCCTTTATGGACAGGGATGGTGAGCATTTTTTCATGTGTTTTTTTGGCCATTTGGATTTCTTCCTTTGAAAAAGTTCTGTTTAGCCAGGCTTAGAAGGCCAAAAATTTTATGTTCTCCCTAATAGGTGGATTATAGACCTAAAACAAATGCAGTAAAATATTATTGGGCATGGGTCACACACTAAGAGGAGAACTCGTATAGGAGGACTAGGAAATGGGAAGAAAACCTAAAAGTTGAAAGTGGTTAATGTGCCCACTGTAGAGGAGTGAAAAAAGTAATCTTAAACTGGCAGAGGCCACTATGGGAAAGTGACCGGCAAATATTGAAGAGGTCTGGTAGAGATGAACCAGTTCAGGCTGTAACACGCATGTGCATGGAAGCAATGCTAGGAATCTCTCTGTATAGCTGTCTTTTTCTCAAGCTAGCAAAAACACTATGTCTTTCTTGTTATCGCTTATGTTTTCTCTTCAACAAAATTGGAGAAGAGGGCAGAACAGATTCTGCCTGGAAGTAAGAGGGGTGGGATGGGGGGTGGCAAGGGGGAGAGGTGGCCCAAACAACGTATACACATATGAATAAATGTGTAAACAATTTAAAAAAAAAAGCAAATGTGGGGAGTGGGCTTCTCACCCAGATAATATAGGTGCAGTGGTCTTTCTTCTAGATAAGGGAGACTAAGAAGCATTCTTAGACAAACATTTAAAGAGATGAAAAAATAGACCCCTTAGGGAAAGTAACACAGCAAACTTTCCCAAGATAGCAAAAGGGGCGGGCGGGGTCTCACCAAAATAGCAAGCAGTCATCATAAAATGTATGTGACAGGTCCCAAGGACAGGATGGACTAATGAGACCCTCTTGGAATGCCCAGTCTGTTAAGGATGGGGGATGGGCAGCCAGATGGTCAGATTCAGCAAGAAGTTAATTAGATAGCCAATTATAGATGCAGCTTCAAGGTAGAATAGTTGGATCTAAGCCAGCTAATGCCCTATATCATCTCCTAGACTTCAGCCTTTCTTTGACTTAGCTCTTTCACTTAAGTCCTACTGTCAGGGAGCTTTGCATCCTTTCTGTAAACTTTGTGCTTGCTTTACTCTTAACTCCTGGTGTCTTCAGTCTTCGACTTCACCAGGATACAAACTCGGGAGTAACCAACAGGATTATCTGTCTGTTATATCTTCTTTAGTTTTTTCAATAAGTTTTTGGTGCCTAAGTTTTATACTTCTTTGGTTAAGCTTATTTCTAAGCATTTTATTCTTTTTGATGTTGTAAATGGAGTATTTTCTTAATTTCATTTCTAGTGTATGCAACTCATTTTTGTACATTGATGTTTCTGCAACTTTGCTGAAATTGTTTATTAGCTGTAATAGTTTTTATTCTATATATTCTTTAGGGTCTTCTATGCATAGATTATGTCATCTGTGAGTAGAGATTGTTTTCCTTCACCTTTTCTAATCTGAATTCCTTTTATGTATTTCCTTACCTAAATGCTATTGTTGGATCCTTCAGTACAATGCTAAACAGAGGCTAAAGAGTAGGCATCCTTATCTTTCCCCTGGTCTTGGGAGGAAGACTTTCAGTCTTTTACCTTTAAGAATGATATTAGTTGTAGTTTTTTCATGGATGCCTTTTATCATATTGAGAAAGTTCCATTCCTAGTTGAGTCTTTTTTTTTTTTCCACTTTATTAACTCAACAATATGTCTTTGAAATATCTCCATGGCGGTGAGCACAAATCTATTCCTACACACAAATCAGACTTGCATTTCCTAAATATATCTTTTTTTCCTTTCTTTTTTCTTTCCTTCCTTCCTTCCTTCCTTCCCTTCTTTCTCTTTTTTCTTTCTCTCTCTCTCTCTCTCCTTCCTTCTCTATTCTTCTTTCATTCCTCCCTCCCTTCCTTTCCCACCAGCAACTGAATTGCTGAAGTACTTTGTTATTATTGTTTTTACTGGGGGCACAATTTATCCCATTCTTAGAATAATTTCAGCAGGCCTCATTTTTCCATTTTCATATATGAGTACATAATATTTCCACCATTAATTATGAAAGGGTGTTGTATTTTGTCAAATTCTTTTGTGATTTTTATCCCTTTATGCTATTAATGGTGTATTACATTGGTTGATTTTCATATGTTGAACTAACTTTGGTATCAGGGTAATGATGGCATCATGGAACAAATTAGGAAGTGCTCCTTCCTGTTTTTGTAAAGTCTGACAGAGATATTAGTAGCTAGTTGATGATAATTTAAAGTTGAGTTGACATGTCTTTTCTAACATTATCGCCTATTGAGAGACCTGAAAGATAAATAAGTTAGTGCTACTAAACCCTTAGTTTTTTAAACCTAAAGTGCTATACACATAGGTATCCATGGTAAATGTTCATCTTTTTTCTATCCAATTAAAAAATTATAGAACATAACCTATATAAAGATGATAAAAACATCTTTTCTTTTTCCAAATAAGTAAACCCACTGTTTTCATTAGTCTTTCCCTTTACTATCTGCCATGCCTGAAATATATTTCCTTATTTAATTCTCTCCTTAAAACGTGTGCTCTTATTTTCTACAGTTTTGCACAAAGATCCAAGACAGGTGTATCTTTGTCTTCTTGAAATTGGTCGAATTGTATCCAGGTATGCATTCCACAATATTTCAGAATTTCAATGTCATAAACACTTTTAAGGTGCTTGGTTTTTAGCTTAGAACATTGTTTTCTATAGACAAAAATGATTCTTGATTAATTTCCTGTTTTTTCTTTGTGTCTTTATTTACTTTGCTCTATTTGCATGAGCATGTGTCAGCATTTGTTTTCTCCATGTGCCTTGTCTTCACTTAATATTAAATTGTGAAAATGACTACTTAAATTTTTTAGATTAAGAATGGGGTAAGATCATGTAGTCATAAACCAGTTCAGGACAACACAAATCTTCTGAATGCAGAGAGGATCTGGTAAGAAGGCTGAGGCGTGGTGTCCTCCATACCTTCCTCAGCCCCATCTTTACTCACTAGCTGCCAGGCTTCTAGGAACAGCATTGTTGGGAGTATCCAGTGTACCAACCATATGCTATGATGCAAAGACTGTAATCTGGATATTTGACCATCTGAGGCATTAAAAAGCATGTCCAGATGTCCCAGTGAAACAATCTGTAGAAGAGAGTCATGCAGATTTTACTGCAAAAATGAAATATAAGATATGCATGGATGTGGGTCTACTTTGCTTAAGTGATCTGATCAGGTTTCCTGGTTCATTTTCAGATATGGGGTTGAGCCACCAGTATTAGTAAAACTTGAGAAAGAAATTGAGTTAGAAGAAACCTTGCTTAATACTTCTGGGCTTGAAGAGTCTATCAGCATTCCAAAATCATGCTGTCAACATGAGGAGCTACATGAAGCTGTAAGTAATTACTGCACTTGCTTTTGACTATGATATCTGAAGATTGCTACAGGTAATGCTGTGTTTAAAAGAAAAGATTGCTTATTCAGAATATATACCAGTCACTAATCTCCACGTCCTAATGAGTTCAGGGTACTACATTTTAGAAGTGATATGTTATTGCTTGTGTATGATGAGGAGTGGATGTGTAATTCAGAGGTAGATGGGCAAATAGGCCACAAGAATTCATTGATTCTTTTTTTAACATGGGAGTATTGCAATCTGATTTGCAAACGATAAGGATCTCTCATTGTCATGTAGAGCTTATGTTGGTTTCATGGTAATAATCCAAGCATAAAAGGATGAGAGCTTGAATTTGAGCAGCAGTTAAGGGAATGGAGCAAAAGGAACACACATAAGCCATATTTAGGAGGTAGGATGGACAGGAATTAGCGACTGACTGAGGCAGAGAGAAAATCTAAGGCAACTTCCAAGGTTAAGTAGATGGTACACTGATGCTTGAAGAATTCCCGAGGAGGAAAAGATGTGAGGGAAAATTAACATTCAGCCTGCAACAGAATATATGCAGACTTAGGAGATGATGGGTCACAACATGAGCGTCTTCCTGACTTTACCTGTTCGTTCTGTAGAAAGTAATAGAATCACATTCCTCAGGTTGGGGATCTTCCTGCAGTGACAACAGTATAAGTGATGGACAATAGTATAAGTGAGTTTCAAACATTTTTTGCTTATCATCATTTAGAATAATTAAAAGGTTTGTGCTTTTTTATAGAAATGCTAAATGTATAAAATTATTTTAAAATAATAAATCATTACTAGAAAGTGTTGCTTTAATAGCAAATAGCAAAAACATTCAGATAGCCTTACAAGACAGATTAAGAATAGATCAGTCTGAGAAGCGTTTTATCAGACTAAAATACATTATTTTTGTGTCTTAATGATATAACTGATGACTGTAAATATCAAAATGGAAAACAGCAATAATGTAGTAGTTAAAAAATTTATTTAAAATTTCATATAACCTTAAAGAATAATTAAGTACAAAGAAAACAAAAGAAGATTTCTATTAAAATGGAAATACAATATGTAATTATTATATAAAGACAATAAACAATTGATAAGAAGGATGCTTTTCATAGACAAATGAGCAAGGACTTTGTTCTTTCGCACAAGGAGCAGTGTTGGAGCTTGCTGATAATCAAGAAATCAGCTTAAAATAGCTACAGAATGCCATTTTGTCATTAGTAAAATTTAAAAGTTATGAAATCTCGTGGTGGTAAAGTCTTGTGAAACTACTGAGGGATTGCTGTTGGCAATGGCAAATGATGTAAATGTTTGAAAACTAACTGAAAAATAGATATCAAGAGCTGAAAAAATAATCCTTTTTCATTTTTATTGTAGTAGAGTACAGGAAAAAGTAAAATGAAAGTGTTTATTGCCCCATTTATATTGATGAAAAATTGTAAGAAGCAAACACTATTTTGTAAGGCAGTGGCTTGGTAATTAGGATTCATTATCTTAACAGTAATCCATTATTATTGTTGATCATTATGACAACTGTGTAGCAATAAGAAAATGTTTATTTTTTGAAAAATATGTGTATATTGGGCAAACTATACAGGAAGGAGAATGGAAAAAATTTATAGTACTGCAGTACCATGGTAGATTATTTTAGTTTCTTTCCTTATTTTGTTTAGTGTTATGATGCTAATTGTATTATGAGTAAAAACTAGAAGAAAACATTTATCATGCACAGCTCTAATTTCTTTTATGCTCATTGCCTTGCTTAGATTGTGGTCTAGTGATTGCTAATGCCAGCAATATTGTACTACTCAATATAAGTGGTTATTTGAATATTTAATCAAGGAAAATAAGTGAATTCTCAGATCCACATTTTTGTGAAAATTAAAAACAAGTGCATTTCTTTAAATATATATGTGCTATATAAGGTCCACCTACAAATATGACCTACAGATATCCTAAGGTCATGTTCAGCGTACAGGACAATTACTATTTGATTCACCATTAGGGTCCTGTAAGTTTACAACCAAAATTCTGTATACTTAGGAAACACAGAAAGTAATGACTAAAAGAAATGCTTCCTTCCAAATTACTTTGGTATTTTTGGTGGTACTGGGGTTTGAACTCCACCTTACACTTGCTAGGCAGGTGCTCTACCACTTGAGTCACTCCACCAGTCCACCAAATTACTTTGTTAACTAATGTATAAACATGGGTCTAGTGAAATAAACTTTACCTGATTTCAGTGTATCTTTAGCCATTTTATATACATATATACAATATATGTGTATATTGTATGTATGTATGTATCTATCTATCTATCTATCTATATATGTTGTATCTATATGTATCTGTATGAATGTACAAATTCTAGATCTTTCTAACAGGCCCAATCCTTCTTACTGGGAAATCCACAACTGTCCATTCATCTTGGGTCGATAATTAGCCAATCATATAAATTGCTCAGCTACGCTGGGCATATCTAATGGACTTTTAAAACATGCCTAAGTACAGTTAGTTGAATTTGTTTAGATATTATCTGTGTGACAGATAATTGAAAAAAATATTCATGATCTTGCTTTTTTCCAAAATGTAATTTTAGGGGAAAGCCAAATATTTTCTATAGTGTTGATATGACTTTTTTTCCTAGTCAAAGATACTTTAAAATATCTTCATTTAATCAATTTATTTTAAATATAGAATTAGTGAATTTCTTTTTACATTTACCATAGTTCTACCACTTGGGGTTTTTATCTATTCAATTAAAAAAAAAACTCATGCAGAAGTAGTGTTTTCCCCTGACTCCCATCTGCTTAGCAGACTATTGAACTGGAACACTTTTACAAAAGTGCTTCTTTTAAAAATTTTACCCAGTCATGGGTGAACAGATATGACTATGTCTCTTCTTATTTTAAGAGCAACTTTGAACAAATCTCGAGATTCTGGCCAATTTTAGTTTAGCAGAATGTTAAGGGAAAATGAAGAATCCTGTTTAGCCTTTATGTGACTGTCCAGTCTTTCATTTGACATAAATGTGTGTACTCAGGGCTTAAAACGTGTTAAGCTTAATAATGACCTCATGTGCTCCGTAAGACTCAACACTGTGTTTTGGATTGACTTCCCTGTCTTGCACATTTGCAGACCTTCAGCAGTTATGGCTTCAAGCCTGACTTCACATGGACACAGAGGGAGAGTGACCCAGACTTCACACTGCTAGTGTTGTTGGTTTAGCAATGTCTGATCCCAATATTTATTAACAAGAAAAGGAGAAGAGATATTAAATCATTGAACTACCTTTGGATTTTTATTTTTGAGGTTATCTACCAAATAACATTGCACCTTAACTTTAAACACGATATTTTTTTTTAACAAACACTAAATTTTGATATTTATTTTTAACCTTAGGTCAAACACATTGCTGAAGACCCCCCTTGTAGTTGTTCTCACCGATTTTCTATCGAGTACTTATCTGAAGGACGGTACCGACTAGGAGATAAAATACTCTTTATAAGGGTAAGGCCACTACTTATAACCTGTATACACAGAGTTTGTTTTGGAATTGGGTTTATTGCTTTGCCAACCTCCTTTTTGCTTCCTTTGTATTTTTAAAAAATTGGAATAGAGGGTACTGTTAATGGAAGGATTTCACCTTAGAGGAAAAATAAAGAGTTCTTGATTTCATGAGTATCTAGTGAGTTTAGGCAAACATTTTTAACACAGCAATCAACTAACATGAGGATGCTAAGACTATTTAGGCATTGGATGTAATTGGGGAAAACATTTTTGTACACTTTAGGTAATTTACTTCATTTTTCAAATTTTCTAAAGAAGAGTAGTTTTCCATTATAAGAAGAAAGAAATGAAGCAAAGCATCCAATAAGATTAAGTATCCATAGTAAGAAAAAGCAGAGGCACTATGGTCTGTAATGATACATACATAAGGCCAAAGTCTTAAGCGTGAAATCTGTTCCTTGTTGGCACAGCATCGTATGCAATGCAGAATGCTCAACACACATGCTGGTTGCCTTCCTTTGTCCCATTGCAATTGATTATTCATCCACTTTGCTAATAAGGACATTGAAATTTCACCTGTTTAACATTCTCTCCACCCTTGATACACTGCAAGAGCTGTTTTTTATCAGCTTGGGAACATAAAAATGCAATTATGCCACCATGTTCTTTCTGTTTTACAAATTATTTTTATTTTCCCACCCCGTCCACCTCACACAGAAATACCCACATGCAATTTCTCTCAATTAACTTTATTTTTTAAGGCAATTTGACACAGTGGTAGAGTAGAGGATAGGACTTAGCTAAAATTAGCAGCCAGTCTCATGCAATGGTGTCAGTTGGCCAGTTCAGTGGACGGGGCCCTGAGATCCAGCCTGGGCTGTACTGTCAGAGCCACGGTTTGTCTTATCCCCATGAAAGTGCCATTTGGGGTAGGGGTAGACCAGTGCATTTGTGGTAAGGCCCAAATTCCTTAATCTCTCAGAGTCATAATTTTCTTATCTGCAAGGGAGAACTAATAAGAATTATATTAAGTATTGAGAGGGTGGGGGGGAGAGGGAGAGGGTGGAGTGGGTGGTAAGGGAGGGGGTGGGTGCAGGGGGGAGAAATGACCCAAGCCTTGTTTGCACATATGAATAATAAAACAATAATTAAAAAAAAGAATTATATTAAACTGTTTTAAAGATGAAATTGATATATAGGAAAATGATTTACTAAATTGTAATGTATAGGTTTAAGTGTTTTTATCTTTTTTCTCTCAATTTCTCTTTCTCTCCCTCTCCATTGCTCTCTAGTCTCTTTCCTTCCTTTAATAGTCAACTGTTCATTGCTTTTGTAGTTTTGTATATTAATTTGGATTTTTAGGATATAAATATTTTCATTACAATTGGAGGGCTTTTATTGTTAGCTGTATAATTCAATATCTATTAAATTTATTCTATTAATAATACAATTTTTAGTGAAGCTTTTGGCAAGTTCTGAGTTTCATAGGTCATAGATACCACAAATTGTCACTGTAAGCCTCATGGTTTATTTTTAATCTCTTCTGGGGACAGATGCTTCATGGAAAACATGTGATGGTCCGTGTTGGTGGAGGCTGGGATACTCTGCAAGGATTTTTGCTTAAATATGATCCCTGTCGAATATTACAGTTTGCTACACTGGAACAAAAAATTCTAGCATTTCAAAAAGGAGTTTCGAATGAAAGTGTACCTGATTCAACTGCCAGAACACCTCAGCCTCCTGAAATGAATCCTTTGTCAGCAGTTAACATGTTTCAGAAACAAAATTTAAAACCCGGCACTCTGGTTGGTATTCCAAAGAGCAAGGAAAAGCAGGTACGTCCACCAGCCGCCTTGTTGCCAGCATCGTCAGTGAAAGGTAATCCAGGTTCCATGTCAGGCCGGCCTAAATTTCCAGATTCTCCAGCAGCATCTTCTTATCTCAAGCTGAAGTCTTCAAGAGCCACAGCAAAGAAACCTCATGCTCCTTCAATCCATGTGTCATCTTCTGTTGTTTCTTTAAATCCAGTAGGTAGAAACACTTGTCCAGTTTTATCAAACTCTGCACCTTGTGCATCTGAGTCATTGAGAAAATGTGTCACATTCCCCAGTACTCCTAAAGCCAAGGCTATTCCAGCCCAAAATTTGAGAGATCTGCCAGAGTCTACATGTTTGCCAAGTAAATGTTCTGGAAAAATTGAACCAAAGTACTTGAAACACAGTCATATTTCTTCTAGGGATGAGGCACTTGTAAATTCATCATCACAGTGTCCAAAGCTACCTAAAGCAAATGTACACATAAAAGCAAAACCTTCTCCTCCTTCCCAGTTTCCTCCAAAAGTGACAAAACCCAGTTCTAAAACCACAGCCATAGGACTGGGAACACGGTTTCAGCCATCTGATAGAACCCCACAAGCAAGGGTGATCCCAGCACAGAAACTTAAATCAGCCTCGAATTTAAATCAACCAGTTTCTGTATCCTCAGTTTCATCTGAAAAAGCTACACAGGAATCAAAAGATAAGAATATAGCTTCAGTTGCCAAAAAGCAGCCTCAGAGTAAAAGTATATGCCAGAAATCAGGACCCAGCTCCTCAAAGACTCCTGGCCGTACCCCACTGTCCATTGTGAGTGTTCCCCAATCTGCTGCCAAAACACAAATTGCACCAAAATCAACACAGACTAAGACTCTGGGCCAGTATTCAGCTAAAGGCCCTCCCAATAGTGGCAGAACCCCAACTTCAACCAGGAAACCACCCTCATCTGCTAAGGAAGCAAAGAGTGGAGATAAGAAACCTATGGCAAAGAAAAAGGAAGATGATGACCATTATTTTGTTATGACTGGAAGTAAGAAACCTAGAAAATAAGTGTCACTTTAACAAATGGAGAAGGGAGCAGAAGGAGTACATCGGCTTCACATCTTCAGTGTTTTTCTTCTTGTGTTTGTCCACATGGCTGCAGACATTAAGTACAAGACGGAGGTTGGGGATGAGGGTAGAAGCCAGGATGAGGAGGGGGCTCATGCAAGGTTCTTATTATTAATCCCATAGCATTTTTGTTAATGTCTGTCATTTTAGAAAGCTATGAGTCAAGTAACACTACTGAGTTATAACTGCAGTTAATGTATTTTTGAACAGCTATTAAATAGGGAGGTTAAATGCCATGCTGGTAGTAACTGTGGTGCTCCTAACATTAGTTACTGCATTTTAGTCAAAAAGCAGTGGTTTGGCTGGGCATGGTTGTGCATGCCTGCAATCCTAGCTCACAGGAGGCTGAGGAAGGAGAATTGAGAATTTGATACCAGCCTGGGCTACCTAGCAAGATTCTGTCTCAAAAAAACAAACAGAAGACCCCAATGGTTTGGTACATGCCCTCCCAAAGGCTCCTGATTTAATCTCTGATCAGGATTGCCTGGTCAACACTACGGAGTACAGTGGTTGCAGCTGCTTAGTTTACCATTACTCTGGTCAGGTAAAATTATTATTATTTAAATCTTTTTAAGATTTCCAAATCAAACCTGGCTTCATTAACATTGGTAATATTTTCTTCCCACTATTTTTTGATGAAAAACCAATCAAACAAATTAGGTTTCTGAAACAAACTGAAATTTAGTAAAAACAAACAAGCTTTTCCATATATTATCTGTAAAAGTTTGGGATGCTGTGCAATGTGACAAGGGAAACTGATTTAGAAACTTTTTGAATAGTATAATATTTTAAAGTAACTTCCTATAAGTTGCAAATATGTATTTTTATGTTAAAGTAATATTGTAATATCAGACTTATGTTTTTATAATCTTAAGATATTAAAAGAACCGTAGAATGTCACTATATAAAAATTCTATCAGGTGATGGTTATTTTTCTTTTGATGCCATAATATGAGTTTCCAGTGGACTCCTTCAGTTATGTCAGTTTTCTTTAACACAGTCATGCTGCCTCCCGTGTTCTGGTGGTCAACAGGGAGCGTTCAGCAGGAGATCCTCCCAAGAAACCGTCAGGTCATGTAATGACTGCATAGACTCCATCCATCCACCGTGATACTTCAAATAATTTATTGAAGGAATTGTGACTGATTGTATACTTTGAGAAGTTTTAAGGGTGTTTTTAACAACTTTACAGTGTTATCGGTTATCACAGGTTTTATATTCAATGATGAGATTTGTGTTTTTCTTTGTTTAAAATATTCAAGTGCATTTTCTTTTTTTCCTTTTTCTTTCTATTTTTTTGGTGGTTGTGGTAGTGGGGATCAGTCCCAGGGCCTTGCGCATGCTAGGCGAGCACTCTACCCCTGAGCTACATATCCAACCCCTCAAGCTTATTTTTTAAAAGAAAAATAAGTTTGCACAATTGTATAGTCATTAAGTAAACAAACCTCTTCAGCAGACCACTCTGCTGGTCTGCTGTAGGGATCACAGTTAAGACTGAAGATAGATTCAGGCTAGCTTTTGTGATAATTGATATTCATTCTCTCTCTCTCTCTCTCTGTCCTTCCCTTTCTCTCTTTTAAATAGACCAGAGTTTACTTTATTGATGCTTCTCTTAAAAGAGACAGCCACCAAGTAATTGGTTTGGTTCTATTTTTCTTGGCATTGAAAGAGATATTATTTACATATTTGCATTGTACTGAATGACAGTTTTTTAAATATACTTTGAAATTCTCCTGAAAAGCTAAAGAATCACTTTGACAATTTTTAAAACATTTTACATTGTCAAAGTTGGAATAGAGTTTTCATTTCTTCTTAATGATAGTGCAAGATTTTGTAAGTTCTTTTTTTGTGTTTAATAAAACAAATATTAAGCTTAAGTTGGGTGAAGTATCTGAAAGAAGAAATAATGTGTGGTTTCTAAAAAATGGAGTAAGTTTTGATTTTTTGTTATAATTTGTTAATGTGACTAATATATAAAACTTCACAGAAAATAAAATGCTGATAATTTTTACATTGTTGGGCTTCAAGCAAGGTGTTTAGGCTTATGCCTTAAAAATGGCTTGATAAATCAGATAACCTTGACCTCTCCTCTCCATACTGAGTTTACAGTTCTTCATGGATAAGGAATTTTTTTGAGGAAGAATTGTTTCTTCTGAAATCTTCTCATCTTTATCTGATTTAAAATCTGTCACCTCTTTAAAAAGGCACCAGAAAGGTTGTTATGATTTATTCTTACATCCAAATTCACACACTGACTCCACATGAATCCAAATTTGTGTATATTCTTATTCCAAAAATACCTATATCCAATTTTAACTTATATTTCTCAAGTATTAAAATTTAAACATAAACCGAAGTCTCAGTGTGCTCTTTGGGTGGATTCTGAATGCATGGTGGAAGGTGAGTATATGAAACACTCATAATTGGAGAATAGTTTTTAATTCTTTTGTTATTTAAATGCCCTTTTATTTTATTACTCTTAGGAGACTATAACTTGTTGCCATTAAATAACAGTATTTGTTCCCCAAATTGCTGTATCTGCTAGAAGTTTGTTCCAGAAAGATCAGATTCATATTTAACAATCTTCGAGATTAGAAATTATCAATTATTAAAGTCACAAATTTAATGCCAGCTATTTGGGAGTCAGAGATATGGAGATCATGGTTCAAGGTCAGTTTGGGCAAAAAGTTTGGTAAATAAGCTGGGCATGGTGATGCACAGCTGTAATCCCAGCTACATGGGAGGTATAGATAGGAGAATCAGTCTTCTGAGGCTGCTTGGGCAAAAAGCGTGGGACCCTATCTAAAACCAAACTAAAGCAAAAAGGGCTGGGAGTTTGACTTAAGTGGTAGTAAGCAGGAGGTCCTGAGTTCAAACCTCATTAAAATGAGGTTTTCTGAATTCCTCATTTTATAATCCCATTTTAATTTCACACTTTGATGTTTAGTGAATATTACTAAAATGTCTTTTTCCTATATTTATAACCAGAACACTTATAAAAAGCAGGTAATTCAGTATGTACTTCCTGTGATGTTTTCAAGAAGAAAACTGAGAAACATAACAGACAAAATTTTATTATATCTTCCTAACTTTTGTGAATGTAATCTTTTCTTTTTTTTTGTGGTACTAGGGGTTGAATTCAGAGCTCTCTACTGCCTAAGTGTGTGCTCTACCACTTGAGCCACTCCCTCAGCCCTTTTTGCTTTTGTTATTTTGGAATGGGGTCTTGTGTGTTGCCCAGGCTGGCTTGGGTGGTAATCTTCCTATGTGTGCTTCACTCAAAGCCCAGCTATTTGTTGAGATGGAGTCTCACTAACTTTTTCCTCTGCTGACCTTGAACAGCGATCCTCCCAATCTACCTCTCCCAAGTAACTAGGATTACAGAAAAAAAAAAAAAAATTAAATTCATTTTGTGAGATTTTAAAAAATGTTTAAAACATTTTCCAGTAAATTTGAAAATATAAAGATAAGTTTTATTAAATTAAGCTATTTTGGAATAAACATACATTTTCTTGTAAAAAATGGTGAGACCTTATTTTTATTTATTTATTTATTTATTTGCAGTACTGGCCTTTGAATTCAGGGCTTTGGCTTGCTAGGCAGGTGCTCTACCACTTGAGCCACACTCCAGCCCAAGACATACTCTTGCAAAAATGCATTCAAAGATTTAACTATAAGGATCTTTATTATAGCATGTTATTAATATTGTTATAGCCATAAGATACTAATTAAGTCATTAAAATGATGTAGACATTGATTTATCCTAAAAGTGGTACATATGGTGATGAAGTGGTTTGTTTTGAGATACTACAGTGATTAAAAAAATTAATATTAGTTTTCTATATTTGACCAGGGACAGCCAATTACAGGTATATAGGCTCAATAAATGTTATCTGTTTTGATTAACCTCTTTTGGCTAGTCTTTTAGGGTTTGATATACATTTTATTGAAAATAACCAATTTTCTTAAATTAGTTTGAGTGAATTACTTCACAGATTATAAGGGAAGGAATAGAATGAATTCAATTGGCTATGATTGTTGAGGACCTTAGTAGTTAGCTGTGGCAGCATAGAAACACTTGCTTCTCCTCAGATCACAGTACCGCTGAGTATGGAGGGATGCTACGGGAGACAGAAAGAGGTAAGACAATCACTGTGTTCATGACTTTTGGATTTATGTGGCACTTTTGCAAGTCATAGACAATTATTTAACATCTGTACTTCCCAACAATTTCAGGAAGTAGGTGTTACCTTTGCAGTGCTAGTTTGTTAGCACTGCAAAGGCAGGAATTACAGCTGTTTTGGTTGACCACTGTGTTCCCAAGACCTACCAATGCCTGGCATGAAATGGGCATTTAGAAACTATTGGCAGATAATTCAGTTTTACAGAAGAGGAAACTTAAGACTCAAGAGAGGTGATAGTTACTCAACAAATACAAAAATACCTACTGGGATTGACTAACTGAAGTTTAAAGGATAATTTTTTAACCTGCTTATACTTTTCCATAAATTGTTGAGATACCTTTTATGTTAATGTGATCCACAAAATAGGATTTATGTAGCATTTTTAAGAATTTGCTTTTCAATTCTACTTTTTCATTATTTCTTAGAGAACTCTTGATTTGTTTTTGAATTACCCCTTATTAAATACTGTAAACATGAAGATTTTGAGATTAGTGTATTCTTGGTTTTTAGTTTAATTAGTAATTATAAGCACCTTACTATATTTGAAGCATTGTTCTTGGAACAATGAATTATTTTGCATTCCATCCTTAGGACAATACAATAAAGGTGCTTTGTAAATATTTGGCGAATAAATGAGAGAAAAATAAGTTGAAACTAGCAGAAAATACTTACATTGAGAATTAAAATGCATTTCTTGCTGGCACAAAGAAATAAGGTGTTAGTAAAAAGAAATGTCGGTGGCCTTATGGATCTCTT